ATCATAACTATACCTCGCCCATATACCAGATCTCTTGATTAGGATTCTCAAGGTGTATCATTTAGTTTTCCCACCATCCCATAACTGACCAGCCTTTGTCTCACTGTCATCTCATTGTCACTTCTCAATTAAAGAGAAACAAAACTGAGGTAAGATTATTTGAGACTATTTATTAATTATTGTGTAATGCCCCAAATGTGCCGTGCTCACTGATAGGACAAACCATGTTTTCGGTACTATTTAAAAACTCGTAACCATTTTTCAGAAAAAAAACATAAATCTTATCCTTAACACAGCTACCAATCATAGAATAATAATTAGGGCAGGAACAGTTGATATCTGAGGTTAAGCAACAAATCAAAGCATGACTAGAATCCTGAAGACATTCTTCTAAAAAATCACTAACATAATCTTAAAAGAAACACCATTTCCTTTATGTTTGGAGCAAGCAACTGCAATTTGTTATTTTCTTTGTAATTGTCTTGCAGTTTCTGTACACCTCTGCAGACAAAAGCATGTCACCTCTGAAGTGCCCTCATTCTCTAACAGGATGAAAAAACAAAGAAGTAGGACACATCTGAACTCAGCTTTCCAAGTTCAGTCGCTCCTTATGCTGTTTTCAGCCCCATGAGCCCTTTCCTTGCTGTCATCTGGGGATGTGTATTCATGATTAGAGCGACAGTGTTTGGTCTGCTTGGAGACAGACCTGCCTGTTGTGCTGCCATGCTAAAATGAAAGGCTGACTTCCCATTTGCTGCCGAACAGTTTTATGATATTTTTATTACCCTAGAGTGTTATTTTTTTTTCATCTCACTTCAACAAAGGATTTAGTTGTGAACATTTATAGCTCCAACATTTGCATTCTTTTCTCAGGTAGAGTGTAAACAGCAGAGTGGTGCTGGTTTGGCCAGGAAATGGGGCCAAGCTTTTCTAGATCTGCTAATGTTCATAATGAAAAGGTTATGTGAATGTATAAGTAAATTGTCCTTTCCATTAACACAGCCCTTACTCACCATCTGGAACTATTCATGCTTCTGAAGAAACAGGAGACGATATCTTAGAAAAGCTGAAATGACCAAACCTGTAACTCCTTTCCTGAACATCAATCGTTTCCTACTGTGACAGGAACAAGGGATGGTGCGTTAGCAGCCTGAAAGGATACACTGGTTTTGTTACACTGTGAAGATATTATCAGACAAATGTCTTTAAAAGAAAAAAAAAAAAAAAGCGCATCTTCAATCAGTTCAGAGCAAATGAAACCCACCTGAAAACCACACTTATTTTTCATATGTTACAAGATATGTTACAATGTCGTGCAAACATGGACCTCCATGCTGCGTAAAATTGACATGCCGTTGCTTTGCATTTTCAATGTCTTTTGATAAATTCACATAACAAGGTGTGCTTCCAATAATCACCTGTAATTCAACAGATAGATCAGTCATACAGGAAAGACCAAAACCCCAAAGACTTTCCAAGAGCTGTGATATTCAGCAGCACATCGGTCCATAAAACTAGTCCAGCTTTAATAGCAGAAGCACTGCTTTTCGTGAAGAACCATGGACACAATGCCGTTAGTATTTTGCAATAAAAAGGATTAGCAATGCCTGTTTGGCTTCCTTCTCATGTGTCTTTTTATGTCAGTGAATAATTCACTTCTGCAATATAAGCCTATCACTGCAAAATACAAACACAGTAATACTCAAAGTCACAGATAAAATTGAGAGGTGCAGTACACTAGCAGGGTACTACTTGGTTTGGCTCTGGTATGTGAGATAATCCCAAGCCAAGTCCAAACCTCTTTCCCTTTCATCTTTCATGTATGCTACCTTTTCTGATGTTATTGCAGTTGAAAAATTTCAGTGTTTATGTTATCATGGTTTGGACAGAAGTCTAGGAAGGTATGATTGATTAATGATTGATTAATCAATTATAAACACAGTCCTCCACTTGGCTGATTGACACCTGTAGCTATTCATGATGAAATTCAGTTTTCATTTACAGTGCCAACAAAGAGATTCCATCAGTAGCAATGAAGATACTTTAGGTCCCTAGACAAAGGAAAAAAAGGTAATTATTTGGTTTATGGAAATGTAAAATTTCTTAAATGAAATATTTAAGTAGTGACTCTCCTGTGTGCTTTACAACACCGATTTACAGCATATAGAGTCATTCAGGTATTTTCAGTTGAGGTGGATGTAGAAGGGCAGTTAAAAGTCCATTAAAGTCACAAAGTCCAGCTCTGTGCATGGCTGTCTTTCTAAAAAATTAGGTTAGCCATCTGTGGTCATTGTATATGTCACCACATAATCGTTGTGGTCACTAGTGGTTCATGTTCAAGCTATGCTTTTAAATTAATTTGTGGTTTGAAAAGCCTCAAATTAAATTATTTAATTAATTTCCCATTGACCTAAATGTAATGCTGGTAGTCATATTTACAATGGACACTGGATGGGATCCCACTGTAACCTGTTAGCTCTATGTTAGAAGCTGTTTACAAACACCATTAAGAAAATATGTGTGTATAAGTAACATGATTAAGAAGCCTTCCCTATGTGGGGTTTAGAAACCTTACTGGGAGGCGTGCATTAATTTTATTGTTTTTCAGGGCAGGTATTGTTTTTATGCTGCAGGTATTTTTATGCTGCTAAATCTTTCAGACTCTGATTTTGATTGGGCACTTTTAGCAATGCCATAATTGTTAACATTAACATAATGCAAATCAATAGCACAGTGTCCAATAGCTCAGGTGCTTAAAATATTTCTGTATCTGCTGTACAATAAATTAGTGCTAAAATAAACTGTGCTGGCTTCCGTCTTCTTTAGAGCACCACAATAGCTATGTAATACATCTTGACAAGGACAAAAATGAATAATTGAAATTGAACTTCAGTAGCTGTTTTCTGAACCTTGTGATACTGGTTAGCTCCCAACAGCACCAAACAGATCTCATCCAGAGACAAGTGCCATCTATCGAGAAAAGACGTATTTGAGTTGAAGAAGCCAAAAATGGCAAAAAATGGCACCAGCCTGCCACCTGCTGCTGTACAGAATTACTTCACGAAACATATTTGCTAGGCCTTGCACTGACTCAACAAAAACACTCCTGCGTGAACTGGGTTCAACAAAAACCTGTCCATTTTGCAGCAGCGTGCATTCCCCTTGGCATTTCAAAAAACGTTGGGTAAGATTAAAATAATGGGACGTTCTGTGCATTTCAAAATAAGCCACTTTTACCCTAAGAAGCTGTCTTGCAGGGCTCTAGTATTTGAAATCCTGGTGTTGCTAACTCAGGTGTTAGATGGTTTTCTTCAAGTTTCTGCTCCTGGAAAGGGGCCATGAGCTGAAAACTCAGCTCCTTTTAAGAGCATCTGCCTCGTTCTTGCAATCAGGACAGTTAAAGGCTGGCAAGATCTCAAAGATCTGAATGAAAACATCACCACCAACTATAAAAACCCCAAATAAAACCACACTATTAATTTGATGTCCCATGGTTTTGGCAGCATGGGTTGATTTTTGAGTGTTGGCTTTCAACAGTGAGATCTAGGCCTTTTATCTGTTTTGAGGGGTAGGAGTATTAGTATCATCTACTTTGCTCTCATGCGTCAGAGTAGATCTTGGTTTTGGAAAATGCACTTAGCTTCTTATTCCAAGTAAAATGTCCTTAGATGTGTTTTGCTGATTAAGGATACCAATTAAACCCAGACACCAGAGTGAAAAGAGTAGGCATATTTTACTAGTGATAACCAAATAATCTAACAGTGTAATATAGAAAACCTGTAGTAAGAAAAAGTAGAATAGTGTACTTAAAGCAGTAAACAGGAAAAAAACAGGGTAGTGTCTTAAATTATTACTACACGAGAGAGAGAATAGAGATTAAGAAAAATACATCACCACTTGCCTGCGTTACCAACATCCAGACCCGCAGTGGCTGGGCAGCCCCGGTTACAGCGAGGGTTTGCAGAGCCTGTCCCGGCAAGGGGGAAATCCTACGCGGTGCGTCCACCCATAGGTGAGGCACCCAAAGTCGCTGCAAACAGGCCCAGCCTTACATACCCGAGATTGACAAGCCAGAATAGCTGGCACCTTTGTTTTGAGCGGAAAATTTCTGGTTTCATTTTTCTGTTGGATTCCACCCAAAGCCTGGCCAGGGCTCAGCGGGGGAAACCAAGGGAGTTTCTAACAAGGCCAGATACTTGGGTTCTCAGCCTTCAACAAGGCTGAGAAAGGAAAGTTGGATACATTTTCTCCTCACTACTGATTATGTTTTGTTTAAGCTGCATCTTTCACTAGTGAGTTTACATATTTTATTAATGGCTACATGCAAAGTTAGCACCTTCACCTTGGGGCCTCTTGTTCAGGCTACGGTATTTCAATGCTTTAGCACTTTTTACATCAGCATAGGTGGTTTGTTATAACTTAGTACAAGACCTACTAGCACAACGGTTATCAGTTATAGAATATACAGGATTCATCTATAGGTCAACTCTGGCTTGGGCTTGTTGTCCAAGCCTTAGCACTTCAAGATGTCACAGTGGATGGACCAAAACTCTAAGCATACAAATTACAGCAAATAATACAGTGCAGGCAGCATCACTCTCGCTATTCTTCACGGTCTCGGTGTTAAGAGAGTTCTTTCTTTATTGATGAGCACTATCGGTGGATCTTGCGCGGCGCTGTCCCTTCTGGATCACTGCTCTGTAAGAATTCCGTGCTGGGCACAGCCTGTTCTGTCACACCGCCGGTGTCACCTTGAAACAGGCGTATGAGAGATGCAGCTGTTTCCCTCCGGCAGCCCTCAGTGTCCCCGGATCTGCCCCCTGAAATGTGGGGAGGAGCGAGGAGGGGGAGCCGGCACAGGGAGGTGAACGGCAGACGGCTTGATCTGCGGGGTGAGGGGACGAACAACCGAGGCGTGTGCGAGGCCCGGACCGCCCGAGCGGC